TTCTTGAATGATTAATTCTTTTTCCCAATTGGGTGATTTTAGCCTTGTTTAGATCTGTGTCCAGAGCTGTGGTTTCGTTTTGTGTTGTATTCTCTTGATTTTAGGTGCGAATGGCAACCCAGATAAACTACAACTATTTTTTTTTAAAATAATAATAAAAGACTGAAGTTTTTCTTGAATCTAATTTTCTGCAACTAATGCTTCTTCAATTATCCAAAAAAAAAAAAAAGAGAAAGAAAAAAGAGCTCACTGCTTCTTCAAATACACTTTTTGAAAGAAACCAAAAAAAAAAACAAAAAAAACAAAAAAAACAAAAAAAAAATTCTCTGAACATGAGTTGTCCTCAGAAAAGCATAGAAATGTTTAACTTCTGTCATCTTTCAAAAGTAATGTACATAAAATGTAAGATTCTGAGTTAAAAATAATGACTATTATAGCTTAGGATTACAAAAATATATTTTTGACATAAAATTATTTTGTATTTGTACCAATTTCTCTTAGGTAGACCTAATCACACCATCCAAATATGAAGGAGTTAAGAGTATAGCAGCACCCATCTGGTGACCCTCTCTCCATATACATTTTTTTCTTATAAGAATATCCATCTACTCTAATTATCATAAGTAGATAAATATAAACCAATTATTTTTTTAATTGTCAATTTTAATATATCAATAGATAAGTTTAAATATTAAGTTTCAACAATTTTGGATTAGTGTCTTCCATTATTTTTACTTATTTTTACTCTATCAATTTATTTTTAATAGATATAATTTTTTTTATTTTTAAATATAAAATTTACATAAAAATTTAATAATTTATATAAATAATAATTAAAATTTTTTTATTTCTATACAAAATTCTTGTTAAATATTTTAATTATTATTTATATAATATATTAAATTTTTATTTAAAATTTATATTTAAAAATTAAAAAATTAAATTAAATCTATTAAAAATTAATAAAAAGAGTATTTTAAAAGAAGAATGGTATCTTTTATGCCACCCCTAAAAGCTGGTGTGTAGAAGTTTTATCCCATGCACTACTTCTAGGGTTAAGAGCAGTAGTGGCGGGTTTTCCTCTCTAGAATTTCTCTCTGGTATAGGAGTTCCTTCATCCCTCCTTTCTTCTTACCCTTCCCTTCCTCCTTTTGATCTCCTCCTTCCTCTTGTCGTTGTTTTGCTTTGGAAACTCCAACCCAAAGGACCATAAAGCAGTGGCTTTTTGTGTTTTTTAGGGTTTACATCTGTTGATTTTCGAAAGTTGTGATTAAAATTGATCTTGCCGGTAAAGTGAGTTTCTCTTATTTAACGAGCAAGAATCTTGCTTTGGTGTATCTCCTTGGATGAGATCTTGGCGGGAGTGAATAGATGAATCTGGTTCACACCAATTCCCAATCAGCTAGTCGATTGCCGAAGGAAAGGGATGCTGTTGGTAAGGTCAACTATAGTCTGTGTGAGAAGCCTAATTTTCAAATCAGCAAAGCAGCTCTAGTTCCCTTAATGAGTTTTGACAGCATGGGTTTGACGAGAATTGGCAAAGATGGGAAATGATTGGGAGTATATGGAGGCGACTGAGGGGTCTTGTGCTTATCAAGAAAAGGCTCATACCCCTCTTGGTTGTTCTTCTTTAAGAACAAGTAGGGTGACAACTTGTGAGTTGAGGATTGTTTGTTGCCAAAATCCCTTGCTCTCCCCAAGAAATTGGTTAAATAGGTGAGGATGCCCAGTAGTTCTTAATGCTTATAGTGACTCCCCTTTCTATATTAATAGCCCTATTTAGCCCATACAACAATTGTAAATTCAATCCTTAGTTGCATATGACTCTTTTTGCTTAATTGTTTATATATGTCATGAGTATAGTTTAAATTTGTTATTATTGTGATAAGTTATGCTTCTGATTTTATTCTTAAGTTATTTTGATTTTGACTATATGCCATGAGGTGAAAATTCTGTTATTATTTTTTATTATTTAATATATTTCTCTATTTCCAAAAAAAAAATGTTAAAAGCCGATTTCGGACAGAGAAATTGAAGTAGACAAAGTAAAAATAAAAGATTAAGGAAGAAGGGGAAATTGGAAATCAAAAATTCAAAATAGAAACAAAAGAAAGGAAAAGGTCATACGGCCAAGCACTATTCTGGCCAAATCGCCACGAACACCTTTCAAAAGAGTGATAATATTTAT